AATATATATATATATATATATATATATATATATATATATATATATATATATATATATATATATATATATTGATCGGAATGGTCAAAATAAATTGAAATTTTTGTGAGATGAAAACTAAAATAGGAGGTGAGGGTATGAATGAGAAAGGCTTCCTTGTCGGGGTCACCGTCCTACACATCTCTAGATGTAGTCTAGTATTGTTTTGATAAATTGTAAAAAAATTTAATGGTAGTGTGTAGAAATATGCTTACATGGTGATATTGTTCGAGGGCTCCAAAGAAAGGAGTCGAGCCTCGATTAAGGGGAGGCTATTCGAGAGCTGCATAAGCCTCAGAGGAGGCTTATAGTGTACTTTGTTCGAGGGAGAATTGTTGAGGATTATTGGGAATGGGTCCCAAAGCATGGGGTTTATAAGTGAGGAATACTATCTCGACTTTTTGGGAGATCCCAAAGCCATAAGAGCTTACGGTCAAAGTGGACAATATCAATCTAGTTCTATGATTCTATTTTAATGAATTTTTGAATTATTTGAAATAATTAAAATTTTATAAGTTAGGAAATTCTCAAGATAGGGGTATAATTGGAATTAACTCATTTTTCTATTATTGTCTTATATTTATAGTTTTCCTTTTATATTTTAAATATGTAATTTAGCTTTTGTTTCTCCACAGGTCAAGGAAGTTGATAGAGTTTTTGCCTTGAAGGTGGGTTTTATTTTCCCTTCTATGTGTATTTATTTATTTATTTATTTTTCTTTTCGTTGTATTACAATTTTGCCCCTTAAGGATCATGCAATTACAAACTCTACCTCTATATTTTTTAAATGTTTTTTTACACTTAAATATATATATATATATATATATATATATATATATATATATATATATATATATATTGTTCTTTTTACTTTTCATTTAATTAAACTTGCTATAAAAATAAGAATGGATTTAATGACGTGGAGGGGTGTTGGTTAAATAAGTTGAAGCTGTGTGACGTGGCAGAGTGAAATGGTGGGGAGCATTGAAGTAAAGGTGAAGGAATCATCCCATTGTGTGGAAGTCAATCTCTCACAAACCAAAGGCTTTGAGAAACAAGTCATTGACCAGCTCATCAAAGAAACTCAATCCCCTTTGCCATGTAATCATGCCAGATGTCGAGGTACTATATACATGCGTTAATTTAACTAATTAATCATATTTTTTTTTATCTAAATATATCTCGACTATATAGTAAAAAATTTCAATTTGAACATAGTGCAACTGATTAAAACATATATCATCAGTCAAAGACGGAGGAGTTTGAATTTAAAAAAAAAAAAACCGTAAAGAGTCAATGTATTAATATTTGTCTATGTTCAAATTTTCATTTTTCGTGTTTAATTCTTAATGTTTTATGAATGTGTGAGATAAGGGGGAATGAAGCATTCCTTATAATGGTATAAAAACTTCTCTCTAATAGCACATTTTAAAGAAATTGTGAGGCTAACGATGATACGTAACGGGCCGAAGCTGATAATATATGCTAGTGGTGGGTTTGAGTTGTTATAAATGGTATCAGAGCTAGACACCGAGCGGTGTGTCAATGAAGACGCTGGTCCCTAAGGGGGTGGATTGAATTGTGAGATTCCACATCGGTTGGAGAGGGGAACAAAACATTTCTTATAACGGTGTAGAAACTTCTCTCTAGTAGACACATTTTTAAAAAATTGTGAGGCCAACGATGATACGTAAAGGGCAAAAGCGGACAATATATGCTAGTGGTTGACTTGAGTTGTTATAAATGGTATCAGAGCTAGACACCGAGCGGTGTGCCAGTGAGGACGCTGGTCCCCAAGGGGTGTGGACTGGACTGTGAGATTCCACATCAGTTGGAGAGAGGAACGAAACATTTCTTATAATGGTGTGGAAACCTCTCCCTAACAGACGCGTTTTAAAACCATGAGGCTAACAATGATACGTAACAGATAATATCTGTTAGCGATAGACTTGGGTTGTTACATGATGGGTCGTAATTTTAATTATCAACCTAAACATAGCTCGAGAATGTCTATTGTCGTTGATTCAAATTTCCGCTCTTTTATTTGGAGGGTGATAGAAGGACCGAACATAGGTGAAGGAGCCATAATATGCTACTTACAATATTTATAATGCATGGTTGTAGGGATATTGTTATGTGAAGCAGATCAGCTATCAAATGAAACCCTAATGTACGTAAAATGGGCAATTGAGAGGAACAAAGGGTGCAGCAAAATCTTCTTCTGTTGCTCTGATGTCTCTAAGCTTCTTCTTCTTAGCTCTTTCTGCACTCACGTTCATCTCTCCCCACCTTCAAAGCAAGAGGTCACATTTTTTTCCTTTTATTTATTTTTATTTTTTTTATTTTTATTTTAAACAATTAGAAAAAAATATAAAAAAATACATTTTTTATTCTCAGAGTCTTTCTATTTGGTCACTATATTTCAAAATATTTCTTAATTTCGAGTTAATTTTATATTTAATCTCTAATTTTCAAAATATTTCATTTTTTAATTTAGTTTCTATTTGGTCCACATATTTCATAATTTTACACATATACCCCTCAAATTTTAAATTATATTAATTCTTTTAAATTAATTAAATGATAATAAAAACTTATGGGTAAAAATATAAAATCTCAAAATTTTAGGATTCGAGGATAAGAATGTAACGTTCTGAAATCTAGAGTTAAATTCCCGCTAAATTCCAGAATATGGGTAAAAGTGTAATATTTTAAAATTTATAGACTAAATAGCAACTATACTCAAAACTTACTAATTAAAAGGGTTTTTTTTTTAACTAAAAAAAAGCTAATATTTACTACAAAGATCAACATGTTTTTTTTACCATAAATTCATTTATATATTTATTTTGTAAAAAAATAATTGATTTTTAGATAGTGGAAGTTCTGGAATACATAGCAAAACAACAAGAATTCGACTTGTCGCGTCGAATGGCAGAGAGAATCGCCGACAATTCCAAGAACAACCTCCGACAAGCCATTCGATCCTTGGAGGCTTCGTGGAAAAAAAGGTTAGGAATTTATTTTTAATTTTTTTAATAATAATAATAATTATTATTTAATAATAAATTGAGGTTTTGATGAAGAAATTAATAATTAATTTGCAGTCGCTTGTTTGAAGAAGATGAGAATAAATTATTGACGGGTTGGGAAGATGATATTGCTGATGTTGCTAAGAAGATCGTCGAGGAGCAAAGCCCAAAACAGTAATTTTACATCTCTCACCATTATTAAAATATTATTTTTCATAAAAGGATTTTAGAATTTTTACTAATTAATTTTTACCAAAATTAAAAATTAAAAACCATTCTTTAGGTTTGGTTCGATAACTATTTTATTATTTTTTCTATATATATATATATATATTTAATATTTGAATTCTTTACCAAATTCTAAAAATAATTTTTTTAAAAAAAATTATATATTAGTTTTTAAATTTTTATTTGATTTATAAAACTAAATGTAAAAAGTAAATACCAAAACAATAAAAGTAAGTGAAAATGGTATTTATGGGAATAATTTTTAAAGAAATAAGAAAAAAAAACCCATATAATTATCAACCACAGCCTTATTTTTCAAATTTTTGTTTGGGTTTTTAAAATATATTTAATTAACGGGTGTTAATTAAAAAAAAAAAAACTCTACAATAATAATTTTTTTTAATTTTTTTTTTCTCTTTGTAATTCTAACAAATAAAAAAAATTAAAATTTAAATTTAAAATTTTCTTAAAAACAATGTTTATTTGCTGGTGCAGGCTGTATATTGTTCGTGGAAAGCTAAAAAAGCTTATTGAATACGATGTCTCCCCCAATTTCATTTTTAAGGTAAATTCTTATTTATTTTTCCCATTTTTTAAAATTATTTTTAAAAATAATTATTTTAAAATTATTAAATAAACAAATAATTATTTTATTGAGATTTCTTTTTATGTATTTATGTTCGTAATGAATGTATGTACGTACAGACTCTAGTAGATGAATTAAAGAAGTTCTTGGACGAAGAATTACAGCATCGAGTCGAAAGTTTCTATGCCGATTATAACGTAATTTTTCTTTCTTTTTCTTTTTTCATTTTATTATAAATTGAAATATATAATAATAATAATAATAATTTGAATTTCAGAAAATGGAGGAAAAACCATTTGTCACTGAAAAAGGCAATGGGGAAGAAGCCGTGATCAAAGAGCTGCATGATCCTATGAGAAAGAACGTTAACCACTTCTTGAAGATTGAAGGTAAATTATAATTAACCTACCAAATAAATAACCACTTTTTTAAGGTAAATTTAATATGTAAAATTTCATATATATATATATATATATTAAAGCATAAAATTGATTTTTAATCAAGTTTTATATTTAAAATTTTATGTGGCAAAAAATGTATTTTTTATTCTCTTTTTAAAAATTAAATTTATTTTCTAATTATTTCTCGAGTAAAATTTTATTAATATTTTAAAGAATTTTAAAAGGTTGTCTGAAAAAAAAATTGTTAATAAAAAAATATTATATATCTATATATTTCAAAATTTCTTAAGTTTTTATTTATTTAAATATTTTAAAATTAATTTAAAAATATAAATTATTACTAAAAAAAGTATTTCTATTTCTTAATTTTCTTATACAGAATTCATAGCGAAGTTCATGAGCTGCTACAAGGGAGAAGCAAATAAGAACAATTATTTGCTGACATGAAAATAAATAAATAAATAAATACTCTCAATATACGAAAGCTTGGTGTTTGGGGGAAAAGACGCTTTTAGCCTTCCCCTTGGTTATACAGATCATATTATTGTTTAATATATTTATACACAAACTTATAAGATATTACATGTAATATTATTTGGATTTTATTAATTATATTTTTATTTTACCCATTTTCTTATTTATTAATAGTTTTAGCCAACTTTTAATATCCTAATTAATCATAATAAATATAATAAATAAAATTAGAGTCATTTCATCAGTTAAAATAGAATAAATAAAATAATTTAAAAAAATTTAAAGATATTTTTTAAAGTTTGGATAGTTTTTTAGATTTTATTTTTATAATTTAACCGAAATTTAAATGATAGAATAAATTATATTTTTATTTTAGCCATTTTCTTATTTATTAATAGTTTTGGCCAACTTTTAATATCCTAATTAATCATAATAAATATAATAAATAAAATTGGACTCATTTCATTAGTTAAAATAGAATGAATAAAATATTTTTAAAAAATTTAAAGATATTTTTTAAAGTTTGGAGATTTTATTTTTATAATTTAACTGAAATTTAAATGAAAATAATGGAAATAATTTAACAACCACAAATTAAAAAAAATTAAAAAAGTAATTTGACAACTACCAATGAGTTGGAGGCATGTTGGTTTGGTGCATGTCCATGAATGCACATGTTCTTAGTTCCACTTTAAACAACCAAGCCAACTGTCAATAACTACAAAATAATAATAAATAAATTTAATTTAATTTAAATTTTATTTGAGAGATTAAATTTTAAATTATCATTAAAAAAAGTTGTAATTTTTTTTAGTGCATTATGAGCTTTGAGTAATAATTTCAAATAGTCCAAGACTGACAGCTCATTTGGTTCATGTATGGTTGGATTTAATATATTTACTGTAAAAATAATTTTGGAAAAAAAAAAACAATTAATTAATTGATTTAAATTATATATATTTTAAATATTTATCGTCTAATAAATTTAATATTAATGGGTATGCTTTGATTAGTATACTTAAATGCTATGTTTTTTTTCGTTTCCGTTAATGCCCAACAGTTCCTATACTATGCTCGAGTTGACCTAGTGATATTAATGCCTAACCTATTAAACTATGCTAGGGTGGATCGAGGAAACGTAAAAACCATATATTTTAATTTAATTATTCGTTTATAGAGACCGGAGAAACTTTAAATTGGATAAAGATATGCAATATCGGTGTGATTTGTTTTACATACACGTCTTTCAGAACCCTTTTAAAGAGGTATATCGAATATTTTTTTACTAAAAGAAGATTTGCAGTGATGAAAAATCATAACGGTAACAACCCAAGTACACCGCTAGCAGATATGGTCCGCTTTGGCCTGTTATGTATCGTTGTTAGTCTAACGGTTTTAGAGAGGGTCTAGCCTTACTCCAACTAGTGCCTCGCACTGTCCGGTGACTGACTTTGATACTATTTGTAACGGCCAAAGTCGACCGCTAGTAGATATTATCCACTTTCATCCGTAACGAATAACCTGCTACAAAATCTTTTAAAACACTAATGAAGAATGTCATTTGTATACAAAATCAAATTTCAAACCCAAGAACTCATAACCAAAACAGATAAAAAACAGAACAAAGATCTGACCATGAAAGAGGATCAGAACCCAAATCTGCCATACCCAAAATTGCAAAGCTGTGTTGGTGTGTGTATATGTGAGAGATACATATATACATACATTACAGACTCATCCAGTCAGTGGCTGAATATAGCTATCTAATCAGGCAAACAAAAGAACAAATTCATACTCAAAACTAGAGAGAATCCAATTTTAGAAACCTGGGTTTTGCTCCAAATGGGCTGAGGAATTTGCCCATAATCTCCAAATTTTGAATCCAAATTTGGGTCAAAAATTTGTTCAAACAGCTGCAAGCTGTTGCTTCTTATGGGAAGCTTCATCTTCATCAAAACAAGAGTGGGGTTTCAGAGCTCTGGCTGTAAGAATCAGCTCTGATTTTGCAGAAGCGCTACTGAGAGGAGGTTGAAGCAGAAGCATTTGTCTTTGAAGATATGAGTAATAAGAATGGAAAGTGTTGGGAGTGACATTCAAGTGAAAGCCCAAACCAAACAAGAAATCCACTTCAAGAAAGTTTATTTCCGCTGTGCTGATCCCTCCCACTTTTGCATAATATGCATTGTTATAGTACCTGAATAAGCATAACAAATTGGCCAAATTTCAACTCAAATTGCCCAAATTCAAAGCCCCTTTTTGATGTTTTTGGGGAAAATGCTGTTTATGGAAGCAAATTTGTAAAGTAAATTCATGGTTGGTTCACTATGCTTTTTTGTTGGCTGCCTAGCTGTTGAGAATGAGAGATTCGGCGAGTATATGATGAAATGATGAACAATGACAAGAAGATTCCCAAAAAACAAACAAGTTGCTCATAGCATCAGATTCATCAAAACAAACCCATATAAAGATCATAGAAATTTGAGATGAAAGAATCTTTAAAAACATCAAGTTTTCGTCAATCAAAAACCACAATTTCAGTTTAAAAAAACATAATTAGCAAGCCAAATCGACGTCTCAAAACCCCTATCCGACATTAAAAAAACAGAACTCATTGAGGCATTTCATCAGTAACCTTGCGGGCATACTTGAAAAAGTAAAAAAAAACGAAAACAAACCCAAATCAAATCCAACATTTTCAAGAAGATTAAGAAACTCACGTATCATCCATAAATTTAGCAGAAACAAGAACGCTAGTGATGAGCAAGCGATGAACATTGAAGGAATTGATGGGCAGCGAGGGCTGCCTTTGAACAAAGCGATCGAGATAAATGTAGGCAACGACGAAGCAACAGGGACTGCAATTGGCGTACTTAAAGATCCTATCCAAGTAGCTTTGGATTGAAATGGCGGGACGAGTTAAGCCATGGAAGGCTGAGATTTTGTGATGTTGAAGATGAACAGAGAGGTTTTGATCGTTGGATTCAGCCACTCTTTGAAGAAGACAAGAGAGAAAATTGATCAGTTTCGGCATCACAGTCGGGTCCTCTAGCTCCGCCATTGATGAACAATCAAGCAAGATTCAGAGCTTTTTCTGGTTGAAGTGTCCGGCAAATTGGAAATTCATGGTTTTTATATAGAAGCGTGGAGGACGTGGGCGCTAATGGAACATGTTTATCTATTTATCGTTTAAATACTATTTTATTCCTTTTATTTTCACCTTTGGTTTTTTTTAAAGATAATATTTAGTTTATTTATTTTTTACTTATCCATTTACCGTTGTAATTTTAATTCGTAAATTTAATCTTTTATCTTTAAAACACTATAAAAAAAAATCATATTTATTAAAATAGTATTTAAATATTTATTTATTGTATTAATAAGCCTCTAAGTAATTTTATTGAACGAAACTAATTATTAGGGTAATGAATTTTTAAATATGTTTTTAATGGATTAAATTTTTTAAAAAATACAAAATAAAAATATAGAAAATGTAAATTAAATTATAAAGAAAACTAATTAGACTGCTTTTTTTTTTAATTTAGAAATTTATTTTTAAAATTTTCAATTTTACGTTTAATGTTAATTAAATAATTTTAATTTTTAATTTTGTCTAATATTAATTATATATATCAAATTTATTAAACACAAAATAAAAGTTAAAATATTGACAAAAAAAAATTATTTATTTGAGTGTTACTTTCATTATAGAATAGTCGACACTCGAGACGAAGCAATGCTGTCTACGTGTTAATTAGCTTTCGATGCCAAAAAATTTCTTATCGTGCAATAAAGTCACCCAAAACGCGCCTCTACCACTTGAATTACTTTAGCTCCGGACCATGCTATTTGATGATATTAATTTCTTTTATAAAAAAAAAATACTGAAATTAAATTGGTATAATTTTAACCATATAAAAAATGTTTTTGTAATTTTATTTAATGACCGAAAAGGACACGAGAATTCGGCATGGAGTTCTTTTATCTGGCGGGGTTGGCTAAGTGGCTTTCTAGGGTCATTTTGGGTAATGATGTTTTGAATTAAAATTCATAATTATTACATATCAAATATAAGTTTAAATTTTATTTTTAATTTAATAATATGTGGGGCCAAAATTTAAACTTTTGTCTTTTTGGTTGAGGATATAATTTCTTAACCAGCTGAGCGTCTACAACATTTAGTTAGCAAGTAACTCGTAGGTAGAGATAGTTATTTAACTCGGGTTGGGATCGGCTCACCTCAAACAAGGCAGAGAATCTCTATTTAAACGAGAAATTGGGAGAGGGGAACGGGAAGAGGTTTTTCCTTGTTGGCTAAAAAGGGTTGGAGACGAGAATTATATTCTCCCTCCATTTTTTTTAAAAAGTACAAAAAAAAAAAAAAAGATTCACAGAAAACTCGTCGGGAGATTCCGCATAAAGAATTCCTATTCCAATCCCGACAAAAAATATGTAGAAAATTTTGTGGAGATTGAGATTGATACTGGGGGCGAAATCTCCCGAGATATTAAATTCTATGAGTATTATTATAATAATTATCTCACTTAATATTTAATTCAAAAGGTCAATTTTTGACAACTCAAATTAGTAAAACAAGATTTTTCTGTGATTTAAAAAGTTGAATTCAAACAATAGAATAAAACAAAACACGTTAAAAGCAAGTTGGAATTGGTTGTATTAATTTCATTTTGCAATTGGCGAGTTGTTTCCAACTTGATGATGCCAACTTCTAGCACAGATTTGAGCTGTAGACGGTTAAAAAACATAACTCCAACTTCATGACTGAAAACGACGCGATTTCAAATCTCTTTTATATTATCATAGATACTGAAGATCTAGATTTCTTAGCTAAAAAAAGGTATATCTTAAAGACGAACACCCAACAATGATATGATATTGTTCACTTTGAGCATAAACTCTCATGACTTTGCTTTAGGCTCCCCCAAAAGGCCTCAAACCAATGGGGAGAGTATTCTTTCTTTATAAATCCATGATTATTCCCTAAATTAGCTGGTGTGGGACTTTCATCATCCAACATTAACTAATTAAACTATGCTTAAATGATCACATTAACGACCTTATTGTTAGATGAGAGCTTATGCTCAAAGTAGACAATATTATACCATTATGGAGAGTCGTGTTTCATCTAAACATGATATCAGAGTCATGCCCTAAACTTAGTCATGTCAATAAAATCCTCAAATGTCGAACAAAAGTATTGTGAGTCTCTAAGGCACAGTCAAAACATGACTAAGACTCCAAAAAGAAAAAAGAGTTGAGCCTCGATTGAGACATACTTTGTTCGAAGGGAGGTGTTGGATGAAAGTCCCACATCGGCTAATTTAGGGAATGATCATGGTCTATAATCAAAGAATGCTATCTCTATGAGTATGAGGCCTTTTGAGAAGCACAAAGCAAAAAGCCGAGAGCTTATGTTCAAAGTGAACAATATCATACCATTATGGAGAGTCGTGTTCATCTAACACTTATAAGGATGGAAACCGATACTTTTTAAAAGCTATTAATCAAAGCCGCCCATGAGGGAATTGCACTAAAATTTCCACCCTATTCAGCAAATGCCAAGATTTCTATCTGGGAAAGTTACATTTAGAAATTCATAAAAAGATCTAAATAAACATACCTCTGCTGAGTATAGCTTTGGGTTTAACCAAACTCCCACACCCCAAAGCAAAATCCCAAGTTGCTCTCACCTCCTCTACACTTCAACACTGAACCACTGATGATCATTCTCAACCCTCCAGTACCGGGACCGGGACCGGTACCAGGACGACACGCAGATAAAAATATATTTTCCAAATTTCTGATTACGAATCCCAGAAACCATAGATAGATGACAATGTCATTGAATCTGTCACATCTCGAGAAGCATCTCAGAATCATCGGTCTCGTACACGGTTTTGTCACTTTCGTCGTCGATATTGCTACCTTCCCCCGAAACAACATCGTTATCGATTGTCTCGTCCGACAAACCAATGAGTGATACATATGATTTGTCTTGAAGACATTTCGACTGCCTTAACAATCCAACAAGAACCTCCTTGCTGGCGATGTCGCCTTCTTTCTCACAGAGGTTGAAGAAAGCCAACACCTTAAAGTGCTTTGGCCTCCAAGTCCTCGAACCCTCGGCAGAAAATGCTTCTTTCCAACTAGCTAAAGCGTCAGAAACCCGACCCTCTTTCGAAAGCCCATCGGCGAGGATCTCCCATGAACTCGAATTTGGCTTTCCCCCAGCTTCAACCATGTGATTAAAAAAGCTCTCAGCTTTGCTCGACATGCCTTCCTTAACATACCACCCCATGAAAAGATTGGCAATTCTAGGGTCGTACGCTGTCTTAACGGATAGCCACTCCTCGTAAATTTTTTCGGCACCTTCAATGTCACCTGCCCTGATTAGAGCAGAGATTATAGCATGGTATCCCAAATTCGGAATGGTCGGGAAAATAGTTTTGTAAACCTTCCACACTCGATAAGTTTCTTCTTTGTTACCAACACTACCATACAAACTCATCAGATAATGAAACGGTATTCGATCCCGACCAACAATTCTACTTTCGACCCTCCTCAAGCATTCTTCCGCCTTTTCGATCATTCCCGTCTTAATATACATCGTGGCCATGGTACTGAATGTAGTCCAATTGGCATTGATGGTCCTGTCTTGCTTCATCCGCTCATACACTTCTTCCATTTTCTCAATCGATCCTTGTAATCCACGAGATGATATCCATATATTATACGAGTAAATGTCAAGGCGAATGCCCTTTTCTATCATTTCCGACACTAACGACTCGACTTTCTCGTACTCTTTAAAGTTCACGTAGAGAGTCATCATTACATTGAACGAAAGCGTGTGAATCGCATAACCTTTAGTTCTCATTTTTGCAAGTAGAGATTCGGCCTTTTCTCTCTGTCTTGCTTTCACATAGGCATTCAGAAGAGCTCCATATGTCCTTCTATCCTTCAAATTTTTAGGCAACCTTACGAAGTAATCTTCAGCACTCGCAATTCCATAGACTTTTGAAATAAGATCCAATTGTATAGCAGCATCACTAGCTGTTAATTTAAATGTCTCTCCTCTATTGCTCATCCAATCATATATCTACAAACAAAAACATCAAATTTTAGAATCGAAACAGCTTCGAGAATCTACACACCGACATGATCACCGAACCGCAACAAATTGCAAACTTAAAAACGATCGTTTATCATCTTAATGAACCATATTCAAATTATCAGACAGCACATCATATGTATGAACAGAAAAATGAAGAACATGCATAAACCAGCATTGAGTTCAGCTAAATGATGAAAACGTATAATTTCTCCATCATAAGCAATGAATTAGGAAGATAAGAGACCTGAAATGGAAGAGGGAAATATCCAAAAGATGATAATTCAATATTCTTCGATGAAATATATCAATGCCTCCCAATTAACAAACAGAAAAGCTTGATTTCTTGTATATTTTGATTTACTAAGAAGCGAATCAGTATTAGTTCATGCAAGAGTGAGGATTTCAACCAAGAATTAGATGATCATCAAAGCTTGTACACCAAAGATTTGCACAAAAAACTCATACGACAATCGAATTTCACATAAGAATTAACTGATCCAGTCCAAAATCCGAAGATTAAAGCTTCAATAGCTTCCATGGTTGCTAAAGAAGCAAATAAAACATAAGAATGCAATCCAAGTAGCTAAGCTTCAGTTAGCAGAAACCTATTTGAATCGATGATAATTTCTACCTCTTTTTTCTCCAATAAAAGATGAATCGAACATCGCAATTTGCAAGCAAATTGAACCAATTCATGAACTCCAATATATGCATCCAAAAACTACCTAAAATCATTATCTACTTTACCTCCAAAGCCCTCTCATAGCGCCTGTACTTTCTCAACTCCTTAATGACTCGAAAAATCTCCCATTTCGTAATCTTTTTGCCCTCGTTCTCCCACTGGTTCAGTACACTCGCAGAGCCTAACTCAGGATTTTCCATCAGCGATATCCTTCGGTAAATAGCGTTCCATTTCACCATAGGCCTTCGCTCGAAATCCACAGTTCCATAGCTATGAGTTTGGGAAACTGAGCAGGTTATGGAGAGTGGAAGCCTCCGATAATTTACATTCCGGAAAAAAGCCTGAGATTGAATTACAGGCGGCAATTTATGCGAATAAGAAGTTGAAGAGGAGAGAGAGACATTGCAGTGGTGAACGGAAGTTTGGAGAAGCATCCTCGTCGTCGTCGTCGTCGTCTCCACCACCGCCTCTGTTAGGGTTGAAGAGAGTGCGCTGCGAATGCGCGGAAGCTCTGTGCTTTTCAGTTTCTCGATAAGGTTTTGTGAATTTACCTATTTGCCCTTGTCTATTTCCCATGATTTCTTGCGAAGTTGGAAAATATCAGAAAAGGTAGATAAAGTTTTAATTTTTGTATTAAATTTCTAAACTGATCTCTCGAAAATTTTAAAAAATAATTAAATAATTATATAAATTTAAATTTTATCTCTACTCCAACCTTAAATTTTTATAAATTTTAAAATTTTAATTTTACATTTAATAAAAATAAAAAATTTGAAAGACTTAATTTATAATATTAAATGGTCATAAATCGTAACAAAATTCGACCCATACAAAAGGGTCGACCTATGAGCCAAAATAGTAGAATAATTGAGCAAGAAACTCTTTAATCGATCTCATTGAGAGGTCAATGATGACTCTATGGTCAACTTTTCACGTAGACATGCGTTATGCATGGTTCCCGACATCTTGATTCATCCCCGTTTAGTTCATTTGTAACTTAATTCGTAGAAGAACGGTTAAAAAATCCTAAAGGGTTATCATATAAACTTCGGTTGAAGAAGGGGTTAGCCTATTTCGTTCATAAAACTCTGCTACACCAAAAAAAACAAAGAAACGTAAACGTAAGAAGCTATAGAGGGTTATCGTATAAATATTTGTCTTCAATCGAGACGAGGTAAAACTCCTAGCTAACTTAAGTATTAGAGTGTTAGATGATGAAGGTCCCACATCGGCTAATTTAGAAATGATCATGGGTTTATAACACAAATAATACTCTCTCGTGATGCCTTTTAAGAAAGCCCAAAACAAAGTCATGAGAACTTATGCTCAAAGCGGACAATATCATACCATTGTAGAGAGTCGTGTTCGTCTAACCTATAGTTGTTGTGGCATAGTAAAATAAAGAAAGGATCAAAATAATTAAATTGAAAATTAATAGTTAAAAATGTGTCAAAATTTGGGGTCAAAATAGAAAAATAAAGAAAGTTGGGTACCGAATTGAAATTTAAAACTATTCCTCTTCCATTTAAAAGCTCATTTAAAATGTTTCACATCATATTATTTGGTTATTGAGGTGAACTTCGCGGCAGCTTTGCAAGCGCGCGTTAAGGCGGTTTCTCAAACGAAGCTCTGCATCCATCGGCCGACGAGGTATTCGTAACTCCGATCTCCGATATCGTCGTCAGGTTTATTGCAATTTTTTTTTTCGTTGTTCTTGTTTGAGTGTTATTCGCTACGGTTTGTTTAAATCAGACGCCTGAATTGGATCTTTACTTGGACGCAACATTCTGCTCGTTTCGAAATTGATCGCGTTTTCGATTCGTTCTTCGTACTCTCATGATTGGATGGCGAAGGCACTGTGTAGCTTTGCGATTTTTGTCTCTGTCGCTCTCGAGTTTCTTAAATCGTCTGTAGTAAATGAAGTCGTAGGTTTTCTATGAGCAGGAAATGTTCTTACGCACATTCTTGATATGATAATTTATATTATGAAGATATGAATTGAAATGGATATAAGAGGCTTTTTAGTCGAAATCCATCACAATTGCGTAACGAAGGTACTGTGCTTGCTGCGCGGTTTTTCGTTTGTATCTCGCTCGCTCGCTTGCTGATATTCTTTAGTTTCTTAAATCTTCAGCTGAAGCGGTAGTCTTAGGTTTTCTCTGAGAAGGAAATGTTTTCACGCTCTACGCTTTTTCTCGACGTGATAAATTACATTATGAAGTATTAAATACAAATGGATATAGGCTCCTAGATTTTAAGTTGAAATAATTTATAATTAGAGATTGAAGGTACTGCTCTTGCTGTGCTATTTTCTTTGTGTTCTCTCTGTCGCTGGTTTTCCAATTTCTTAAAGCTATACTGTCAAGGAGGTTGTAAGTTTACTCTGAAGAGGAATGTCCTTGCGCATTTTCTTGAAAATATTAATTACATTTTGAAGAACCTTTAAGCTGAAATTCTTTTGTTGATATACGAAGAAATTCTTCTTCCCATTGCATATGCAGGGATGTCTAAATTATCTGCCACACTGAGACTATTTGATGCACATTGTCATCTCCAAGATCCAAGAATATTTGATAAAGCACCTCAATTAATTAGCACAGCAGTGGATTCTGGAGTTCTGCGTTTTGCTGTTAATGGAATCTCTGAGGTACAATAGTTTTGCATCTTCTGTTATATATATTGTTTTTGGAATATGTGCTGCCTGCCTCTCATCTTCTTCTGTTTCTGAGTTCATAGAAAGACTGGCATTTGGTGAAGCAGCTGAGTGAATCACATCCTTGCATCATTCCATCCTTTGGTCTTCATCCCTGGTAACCACTGTCCATTTGCATACTTCACATCCCCAAAGTTTACATAGAAATCCATATTATTTTCTGCCATTACCACGTATTGGTGAAGTATATTGTATGACATACATCCAGCTTGCTGTATTTAGGTATGTTCCTGAAAGAACTACTGGCTGGCTAGAAAAACTTAAGGAATTTTTTGAAGCAGTACCAACTGCAGCAGTTGGAGAGGTTGGTATTCATGGCCGAAGCTATATCCTGGAAGACCAATTTGATCTTCTGATATTTTATCATGAATTGAAGTTCTAAGTTTTATTTTTAGATGAAACACAGGCAAAAAGAGAGAAAAAAATTGGGAATCGGATGAATTCTTTTTGCCAGAGAATTATTTTATTCATCTAGCATGATTTCTGGAACCAGCTTAAGAGCATGTTTTGGGGTGATTTCTGAGAATCTGAAATTATTAATCATCAATGTTGCCTATTTTTCTGGACAAAGAAAGTGACAGACACTTATAGTGAACCTTTGTTGCTATTGCATGTTACTAGTGCCTTCTCGTTCTTGATCATGCATATTCTTCTATGTACAATAATTTTTATGACGTGTTTCCTGAATTAGCCTCAACTTTATTATTTTTGTCCTTTAACTATGTGTAGGATCTAGGGTGGTTACTCAAGGGTTTTTAATGATTAATTTGTTGTCTCAACATGTAGATATATCTTCTTAGTAGATTGCTAAATTCAGTAGGGCTCTAATATTTACATTTTCAGATTGGTCTGGACAAAGGTTCAAAAGGAAAGGAAATCAATTTTATAGATCAGGTGTGACCATTATACATTTTTTCTGTCTTGCTCAGTTTCTCGTTTACCTGTCAAAAGGAAATTGTAAGTGGTGTAAGAAGCAAATTTTTCTTCACTACTGCAATGATTTTCTTTTTCTTTTTAATGATCCCCGAGCTGTTCTTGACATAAAGTATACTGCAGGTTGAGGTCTTCCAGCAACAACTTGAGCTTGCCAAGTCTTTAGAAAGACCAGCATCCATCCATTGTGTACGTGCTTTTGGTGATCTCCTTCAGATAATGAAGTATGAGACTTTCTAATAGTTATATGTTTGTCGTTCATGTGATGTTGCCATTATCAGTCATGTCCCCTATTTATTGATTGGTTTACATGCCTTGTTCTGTCATTGCAATTGCCTCAGATCTATGGGACCTTTTCCTGCTGGTTTCATTCTGCATTCTTATCTTGGATCTGCTCAGATGGTTCCTGAGTTCTCCAAGCTAGGTGCTTACTTCTCATTTTCGGGTTTTCTCATGTCCATGGAGGCAAAGAAGGCAAAGAAAATGCTGAAAATGGTCAGTTCTTATATATATATATATAGATTTGACAATCCTGGTGTGTTTGTGGTGCATGTAAAAGATAAGATGTGTATGGAAAACAAGGATATAAAGAGAGTGGATTGGAATATTCTTCTGAAAGCCAGCGTGTCAAAAGAATCTCATCTTATTGGCTTGTATAACTGAAAACTTATAAAAACTTCTATCTAGGCTGCACCATCGGAAAAAATGAACCCCCCAAATTCTCTTCATCTGTAACATCATGAATTTTTCCAGGTGCCCTCGGATAGGATTTTGTTGGAGACTGATGCGCCTGATGCACTTCCTAAGTCAAAGTTAGACTCCCTCTATTTTGTTGAAGGCGATCCTTCTCTTCCCGAATGTCTGAAGACCCAAGAACAATCTGCTGCCCAAACAGGCTCACAACAAAGTACATTGCCTGGTTCTTCCACCGATGCATCAACACTGCCAAAAGGGACTCTCAATCATCCAGCAAACATCCAAAATGTACTTCACTGAATCTTTCACTTATATCTGGTTGATGGATATATTTACGTTCATCCAATATCATTAAGTTGTACTGTTGGTCTAACAACTTAGCAACCCATGGCTCATTATATCAACAATCTTAAAGAAAACTAGCATAATAGCTCTATTCTGATCATAGATAGCATTTTATAACCAGGAACATTAGCCTTGACTATTAGTTAAATCCATAAGTATAAACTTTCTCTTACTCTTCAACATGGGAAGGGATAGAGAGGTAGAGTTGGCCTCAGCTGCCATCTTCCTCTTTGTTTAATTAAATTACATGCTGACCTTGTCTGGTTTTAAAAATTAAGAGTCCGTATAGCTCTAGGTTAGTTCAATTTCCATCATCTTTTGTAACATATTTCATCCTTTATTCTTCTCTACGCAGGTCCTTGTTTATGTTGCATCTTTGTTGGACATCAGCAAAGAAGAACTTGCTGAATTGAGTTACAGAAATGCAGAGCGTTTATTCTCTTTCACAGGTCTAGAAACTTCTTAGGGAAGAGAGTCCAAATGTTTAGGTGATGTTTTTAACAACTCGAAATAATGCTCCTTATTGTTCCCTTATCACTAACATGTCACTTACCATCTAGCAATGAAAATTTTCTTGTGAAGAATAAGTCATAGCCGATGCTTTTATGGTGCATTTGGTGTTGTGTATCAACGACATCAAGAAATCATCTGTGGCAACACTTGCAATGCAGGAAAAAAAAAATATTTCGGAGGTAATTATGTGTTACCTAATATCCATGGATTCAAATATATGGATGACGAAAATGACTTGTAGTAGGCAAATTGCAATCAACACGAAGGGCAAGGCGGGCGTGCATGCCATTTCAGAGGTTGATGTGTTAAACAGGTCATTAGACCACTT